CTAAAGCACCTTGGTCCTTTAGTAACAGGCAAATTCACGATGATCTGGGTATTTAACTTTTCACGGACCACATCAGAGCGCTTGCTATTTCGATAAGGGCAACATCCCATCAGTTCGGCAACTTGAAGGCACACGTGCCGACTAAGGGCTGTCCGAAGCCACCCACGGCTGAGTATGACAGATGCTCGGCAGGTCAGTCCAAGCAGCCCTTAAAAAGACGTCCAAGTCGACACAAAGATTAATGTCCAACACTATTAGTCTACCCTGACTGCGGTTTTCCATACTTTTCAGTTGACAGCTTATAATTCAAAAGGGGCACGTCCCGCCTACCCCCAGTCATGGAGGCCTTCAGCCAAAATAACCCCCTTCCCACTAATTAACAGACGCCTTTGGCCAATGCGATCCTAATCATTTTGTGTTCAATCCTCAGACGTCAGTCTAACAAAAGTACTTCTCGTAAAGGATGAAATGCCTGAATGAAGCGTCCTCCCAACACTAGCAATGACCCGTCAAGGCCTCCAGTAAAGACCACAAACTCGTTAGCGAAATCACATCCGAAGTTGTGGTTTACATAAGGCATTTTTTTCGTACGCAGGGACGGTTCAAAAGAGCAAGGAACATAGGAGAGCTAGCGTCTTTTGGTTGGCAGGATCGCTTTCTTACTCAAAGGGGCTTCAGACATGAAGGAACCGACCCGCGACGACGTCCGAGAAGCAGCAACATAAAAGATGAATGATATCAGATTTACATCCCTCTTTGTATTAGAAGTGTAACCGCGGCGTAGCGTGGTGCGAGCTCACCACCGTGTTTGTGGACGAATCAGAACACAGCACGATGTCCCCCCCTAACAATCTCAGGCAGGAACTAATCTTACCCCTACAATCTTCGCTTAACTCAGGAACTCCCCCAAAAGCGGGTAGAATCGACAGAAGAGAATGTATCTTAAGCCGCCCCAACTAGTAGTCGATCCTGAAGTGACATATTTCTTGCTTTGCTGCATCTTTCGTGTTTGATAATTTCAGACAATCCACCTGCCATCTGATGCTTCAGGCGTAGTATATAGCATGCAAACAAATTGTGGCCCCGGTTTCATCTAACAAGTACCACTTACCTCATACACATTGGGATGCCAGACTTTGGTGAGGAACCGTATGCTGGGTGGAGAGTACGGGTAGTCTGGAGGAAACTTCATGTGAGCCTGAAAAGAATAAAATAAAAACCGCTGCAGCATTAAATGGAGATAAAAGCGAGAAAACCACTCAACGCTACGAAGTCCCTCATGCTTCTCGGTTGGACTTCGAAATTGGTTACCACTTTCATAGACATCCGCGTTGGACCGTATCACAAACCTGTACAATCCAGTTAACTCCACAATTATTTCTGAAATGTCCATTTCAATATTATCTTCCCACATACAGCGAAATATTCTAATATCTTCACTTGAGCTTTTCCGACAGCTCTTGCAGACATTTCGCGTTTCTCAGATGCGTGCTATATATCTCATCCTAATAATACTGACCTATGTGAAAATACGAGTTGTCATTTTCTCCAGTCACTTGTTACTCCACTTCCCCCAGATCTATGCAGTTATCTAAAACACGACCTACCGCGGGTAAGACGTGCAGGACCCGGGAAGATGCCAGCAATCTGACGCCGGGTAATAAGACTTAAGAGAGACCGGAGCTGTAACACATTAACCCGAGTGTCACGGCGCACGCAGTGAGAACGAAACAAAGCCAGGCCCCGCGACAGCAGAACCGCCACTGGACACGATCCTGAGCCAGCTCCATCCTCCCAACCTATTTTGTCTTAGCAATATCCTCCCATCTCCTTAGCGATCTTCCAAGCGGACTCCCCCCCTCCAAATGCTGCATGCATTTCCTTTCTCCGCCATTCAAACTACATGCCTATCCCATCGCGATCTTCACCGCCACATCAATCCTGGTGTAAAAGCCCTCGTTGTGAACATATTTTCCTGTATCCCTTTTATACGGCCTTCCTTCGGCAAGAGCCACGTTTCGGCCCCTTGAAACATTTCCTAGGGCCCGTCTTCTTATTGCAACGATCCGACCACTTAACTTTGTAAGATCACTCTAATGCAATACACATACAGAGAATCGACACGCAAATAACAAGGTCGTCTTGGAGAGACCTGACAGCACAAGACTACAAGGCTAAAATATTGTTCAGTACCAAATAATGTACTGTTATAAAGTTTTGTGTGCGTGTGTACACACATTTCGATCTGAGGTTCTCACAGCATCATCACAATGTCAATGTTGATCTTCTGGGTTGTAACGCCCTGATGACGGAGGCACTATGTTCCTCCGAAACGCTGGTATCTACCTACAAATCCACACGGCGTAAACAACTCAGAAAACCAACATCGACATCTTCATAACTCCTTGCTTTGTACACAATATACACATAGCTACATTATTTTTACGTGTGCATTTTTAACGATGTCTAACTGTATGCAGTGTTGTTTCGATGCGGTTAGTATTATAAATGTAATAAATGAAGCTTCATGATAGATGCAAATATTCGTAAAATCCATAATTTAGACACATCGAATCCCTCAGCTATGTCTTTAAGAAGGCGGATGTGCATTATCACTCGCAACAGTGCGTTAAGGTACTTTGTGACTTCTTTATTAGTCTATGTCAGCGTTTATCAACCTATGGTACGCGTACCACTGGTGGTAACGTAAATGAGTTTTCCCTGAACGCATTTGTCCAGTGGTACATTTAGTGTGTTATATTAGAATTAGTGGTATGCCAGCAAAAAAGGGTCACACCTACACACGATCAGTTAAGGTGTTAAAATGACTGCCGGGGCCCCTCAAAGCAAGACCTTATTTGGCTTACACGTAAAACTGTCACTGTGTGTGTGTAAAGAGCACGAGGTACACGAAGCCACATTCCGAACTGCAACTGAATGTTCTAATGGCGTATTTGCACCACTTATTAAATGACACGGACCTTGACTTCAATGTCAAACATGCTGTGACAATGACATGGCTGTTATTCTTCTGTTACAGCCAACAATGTGTGCATGGATGCTGTCTGAGTCTATCTTACTATAAAAATTTGTGATTCCTCGTACTATAAAAATTTCTGATTCCTCGTTGTCAAAAAATGAATATCAACAATGTCACCTTATATTTGTTTATACACGGCATTGTTGTTCCACAACAATGCCGTGTACACCACAACAATGCCGAGTAAACAAATAACGCTTAGTACCAAGCCAGTCGCATTATCACTGCTCTACAAGCAGCACATCGTCTCCGAACAGCGACATTAGACTATTTAAGAAATGAAGAAAAGTGAAAGACGTTACCATTACCAACAAGGTAATCTGATACTAATAATAATATTCATCCAAGTCATACTGCTCATTCAAGGGTTAAAACACTTGAATGAGACACTAAACTAACCCCCCGAAGGGGAGTTAGTTTAGCGTGTTACTTAAGATTTTAAAATGCAACCAACCCCCCAGAAGGGGGAGGTTGGTTGTTTTTGACGCAAATACGTCTATATTGAAGGGTCATTCGGCAAAAAAGGGAAACGAAAAAGTGTAACCTAGTACTATAAAAATTCGTGATTTGTCGTCGTCGTCAACCTATTTGTAGTCAAGAAATGACGTCATCAAACAATGTTACGTTACATTTGTTTACTCGGTACTGTTGTACCAACATTATAATAGAACACACGTCATCTCTGAACAGCGACGTAAAGAAGTATCCGGCATTGTTGTACCAACACAACAATGCCGAAGGGGGGGTTAGTTTAGTGTCTCATTCAAGTGTTTTAACCCCCCCATTCGGGGGGGGGGGGTTAGTTTCTTACACAAGATTTTAAAACGCGTTTTAAAAACTTGACCAACCCCCCGAGGAGCTCCGAAAGTAGCGCTCTGCTCTAGTAATATATATCTTACATTGCCATTAATAACGTTTATTTGCTGTTCTGAGAACATTCAGTTTACGCGCAGTATACTTGTTAGAACTTCTGTCTACTTATCGGAGGACCTAAGCTCGAACCTATCCAGTCCTCAGCTACCCGAACAGATTTTTCTGGACTTTACATTCAAACTCCGGCCAAACGCAACACTTGGCCGCTAATGCTAATGCGTGTTTCCAACCCACTATGAGCCAGCAAGCGACGGAGCCAATGCTGTGAGAGTGAGACAAGAAAGGAACAATGGAGAAAATACAGAAGAAAGAAAACGTCAGTCGGAAAAAGGCGAAAGGAAGAAAGAAACACGCTGTTTACAACCTTCGAGTTACAATGCGAACGAGAATACACGGGTCCCAGAGACGTCATTTAGATATTTTCTTCTAGTTATTTGTTAGAAAAGAGCAAACTATCTTCGTGACGATGTTGGGATCGTGACAAGTGGACATAAAACCTGGAGCCCGTAAAATCAGATCCATTGTACGGGCCTACACAAATTTACAGTGAAAATTGGGAAGATACAAACCGAACTTGGGCTAGCATGCTCAATAATTAAAATCGACTGTCTTTTGCTTTTGCTATCATCCATAATACTAATGCTACTTCCTAGAGCTGCAGTAACAACAGCAATTTATTAGAATAATTCTCTAACATAGCGATGAGAAGTGAATATTCTGTATTCTCAACGTATTACTCAGTCCAGCTGAATGTATCAATCGTGTTCCGATATTACCTGCTCACCATATCATTCTCTTGCTGAAACGGGGCCATGGTCGTTAAGGGGAATCAATACCACTGCCACACAGTACTACTGCATCGTTCGTGCTGGCACAGAAATTACACATTCGATTGGTTGTTTAGGCACCAAACCGTTCATTTCAGATAGGCACCTGAAATAAGCGTTTTCAAAACAAGCACATGTGACACAACCTTCTTTCAGTCATAAGCAATTTTCATGACTCATAGAAGGGTAAGGAAGGATATTCATCAACTACAATAATTAATCAAGACTGCACCTCTTCTCAGCCCAAATTAGCAATTTGTATGTTCAAGTGCAGTACTGGCATCTGCCATCACAGTACGGGCTAGTCAGTGTTGTGCCTTAGGCCATTCTTACACTAGCGCTACACAAAGTCCTTTGTTGCTCGTTAAGCCATTCTTGCATTAATACGACCTGAGGTCACTGTTGTTCAACAATGTGTTCCAGCAAAGCCTCTTCCCACTGCTGCACAACAATGGGGAAGAACGGCTTCCACTGTTGTGTAGGTTCCCTACCCCGCAGGCAGCCGAAGTGTGAAGAACAACTAAAAATTGATAGTGGAACCACGGTTCCGGAGAATCTGACGTAAATACGTCTATACGGAAAGGAAGTTTATATATTGGCTTTATTCTAAATATTTCCTTTATACATGCTTTACAACTGCGTAAAGTTTGATTAAGATATTGCTTATTTAACTTGAATTAGTTACGCTGAAAATGGATCTGTGGTAGATGAATGTAAAGTAATGTAATTTAATGTAAAGTAATGTAATGTAACGTTTCCGAGGTAACAACAATGCTGAGCAAACAGATGACGTTTCCTAGGTAACAATAATGCCGAGTAAACAGATGACATTGTACAATGAAATGCATAATAAGATGAGAAGAGATTGCAAACTTCTTGACCATAAAGGAAATAAAATGACATAAATACACATCTCACCAGTAACAAATTTTTATAAAACACCAAACTAAACTAAACCGGAGAATAACCTGAAAGAATGAGTTCTGTTTGGATCCCAATAAAATGATTAAAGAGTAACAACTCAGATGAAGAGCAAAAAGCAGTTATTTCAATCTTAATTCATTCTTTGTTTTCTGGCTTCTGTTCATTTAGCTTTCCTGTCATGAATATGCTGGACCACATCAATTCAATTGGAGTAACTGCAAGTCAGATTTTTTTATTTCATGATGCTGTATTAATTTCTGATGTTACAAGATCCAGTGAGACATGATAGTGACTGGTTCTTGGTTTCCTTAATGATGCTTTTCTCAGTAGTTTATGTAGCACCAAATTGCTGAGTGATAAAGTGATCTCACTTTAAGATACTATCCCATATTTTTTCTGACAGGATTAAACATCCCAGTAAGCACAGCTAAGAATCAAACTGAGTTCGTCTTGACCTGTTACTGCTGATGTTTGCTATGACAGACTCTACCAACTTCCGATACTTCAGTAATTATAATTTCCCAAGAGGAGAAATCACTACATTTGTCTCACTTTTTACATCTGTATTGCTACATAACCAATATATATAAACCAGTTTTCTTTGCTTGTTCCCTGAAAAATGATAAGATCTATGAGGTTTCAAATAAATTAAATTACAAAGGTATCCCCACATTAGTATCATCATTAATCAAAACCTTATGGCAATTTAATACAACATGTAAAATGAGCATTTAAAAGAAGAAAACTAGTATTGGACCCCAGAAGATATTGTATTCTGTACTATGACTGCACACTGAGAGAAGACCACATGCTGACTGCATGGATTTATGAGGCCAAGAAAACATAGAAATAAGGGGGGGATACCAGTTAATGTAGGTAATTTCAAATTGGGTATAACTTGTAACAGCATTTTGTTACAGTTTTGTTCTGTTTGGTGGCAAATTTACAACTATTTGGAGTTTCCAGGTGCCAACAATTGGAAAAACTGGTCAAAATTTCTAATTATATTTTAATACTAATAACAATTGTAAAATATCAACATTTTTATAATCAACCTCATGTTTATATGCGAAAAAATCCTCAAAATCAGTGCATAATGCTCGTCTTCACCTTCTCCTCCTATACAACGTTGATAATTGTACAAAATAATTTCTTATTGACTGTTCAGCAGACACCTGCCTTATCCTCAATACAAACTAACCAAGTCCAACGTACAGTGCCTTACTTAAGAACTCAACAATTGCTCAGCTGGTCAAGAAATGCCCAGCTTTCATGACACTAAAGGTTCACTGACATATTCACAAAAGTCTGCCATTGGATAATAACCTGAGCTGCTGGGCCCAGTCCACACATTCACATCCTTTTTCTGACGTAAATATGTCTATACGGAAGGGTCATTCGGCAAAAAAGTGTAACCAAAAAGTTACTGGAAAATGTGTAAGATCCATGCCAACAAATCGACATCAATGGTTAGCTTGCGTGCATTGTTATGTTACCTAGGAAACGTCATCTGTTTACTCGGCATTGTTGTGTTACATTACTGCCGTCAACAATCCGCTTTCATAGCAAGATGGATGACATTGAAGATAACATTACTTTACTTTACATTAAATTACATTACATTACAGAGACGTAAATATAATTTAAATACAGAGACGTATTTATGTCAAATTCTCCGGAACCGTGGTTCCACTGTAACTTTTTTAAGATTAATTTTAATATTATAATCTATTTTATGTCTAAGCTTCCTAATTAGCTGACTTTCTTTATGTTTATTTATTTGGAATTTATTTAACGACACTTTTTCAGTAGCCAAGACATCATAGTGTTGAATGAGAGGATGATAGTGAATAATGAACTGGAAAGGATATGGAAAGAAACTGTCATTGCCTAATTTGAGGTGCCATCCTGGCAGTGGATAAAAGGATTGAGGAAAACCAGGAAAAACTTCATTCAGAATAGCTGGCCACTGGGCTCAGATCCAAAGCTGGGACCTCCCAAATATGAAGCAGAAGTGCTGACCACGACATTTCACAACTACACATAACACAATCAACAGGAAATATTGTCTTTTTTTAATATTTGGTTTTATTACAAGTAGATAATATATACCACAATGAATGCTAGATAGTATTTCTGAAGTTTATTTTGCTATTAATTTTATCATAAACATGTTTTATTTATTTTTGTCACTCCCAATTATTTCAACTCTGGTGCACATTCAAACGATTTAGCAGAAATTCTTGTATCCTGATTTTTCCCTGTATTCTGGTATGAGCAGATTTACTATCCACACAAGGTGGACAACGTTTCAGTGTTGTTATAGTCGACATTAATTCTCAAATTCCAAACGTTCTGGACACATACCACATACGGTTTACTTCCATTTAGTGTTAACTTACCTTGAAATATCCACCTTGGTACAAGGTATCTGGTGGTCCAAAAATAGCAACTTCCCACTCAAATAAAGTGTCTTCATTAACAAGTTTCACACGAAATCCTTCTACTGGTTCCTCTTGCAAACTCTTATATTCCAAAGCTAGAGCACGAAGGGCACTACTTGTGGGTTGTTGGGCCATTTTAATTTGGCCTAAAACATATACAACCTACGAGAAATATGATACGATTCACAGTTACGCTTAAACACTGACACGAAGTAATGCTACTCCCAATGCTATCTGACAAGGCAATTCTGTTGTTCTAGATCTAATTATTGTTATTGTTTAATCACTTGCTTCTTTCCTTTGTGGTGATATAACTTATTGAAACTTCGAAGAAGTAAAGTGTTCAACACTTATCCAATATATCTTAGACTGATACATGCAAAACAAAGATAAAATACAATATCCACCATTTGTTCCAACACATCCACTTGAACGAGCAGAACAGCTGGGATGCGCTGCGCTTGCCTTCTCTGAGTTTTTGTTTCTGCATTAAACAACACTGCCTCCTGCAGTGCGAGTGCGCTACTAATGGAATGTCGACCCCGAGTGCGTTCACGAAACGTCAATATTAAGTCGTTGTGTCAAAACATACGACACTGCTGAAATAGGATAGAAAGGAAAATAACTGAAAAACGGTCCAACACTATTAACTTTATAACAATGTAATGATAGTTGCTCATAATACCATGATAAATGAATTAATCGCAGATGACGTATGACTTAATGACTCGAGTTATAGTTTTTAACTATGTTGTGTGAGATTCTGTTACCCTTAAGTGTCTGTCTGGAGAAATGTTGTTATTAGGAACTAAATACAGTATGTGTAAAGCGGAAATAATGTTAGGCGGCGGATAATGATTGTGAATAGGTATACTTATAAGGAAAATTCTTTAAGAAATAACTCATGGAACGAACAGAAGCAAAGTTATACATTAAGCACATAGCAAAACTTTCAACTGTCCACGGATTCCAGTACGTAGTATGTCAAACAAGGAGCATCCAAGAGTTATTATATTAATTTAAATTGCTATATTATTGCACCGAAAACTGATGTCAGTTTATGAACACTACTGGTGACGTAATAAACTATATATATGTATATATCTGTATCTGTACAACAGGATTCGGTGTGCGTATCGTGTGGTCAGTGCTTTAGACTTCGACCTTTTTATTTGTCTTCCACGTGCAAACCATTCTGGCATTGACGTACACAGTTATTCTATAGAGACAAGATACTTTGGATTTTGCGACGTCATTTCTGTAGAGGGAAATCATACATTAAAAAATATTTAAAATATATAGGTGAGTTAGTTCTAGCTGTTACATGGTAAGTGGTCCTGAAGATGCTAGTACTGTCTTGTATTAAGGGGCGGGGCAGCGATGTGTTTTCTAAGAATAGACTAAATAATGAGATTGCTTAACACAGTTGGTGGGATTTTTTTTAGGAACTTATACTTTTCCTATTTGCTGTTGAATTTATAGTGTATTTATTGAAGTGATAACGTGTATAGGAAGGCTAGGTATTGACCAAGGTCATTATACCACTGCTCGTATTGTGAGAAACACGTGGTAGAATTAATACATTGTTCGATCTACATTTAGAAACAAATGAACATATTGGGAGACCTTATGGTGGTGAAGAAAACTTTTTAAATAATAACACTCCACTACAATGGCAGGAAGTACCAATGGTTTCATCACATCTGACAAGCTGCCTATGTTTTTACTCTGTATACTGTTGACTTTCCTTGCCCAAGTATTTCCTAGTTACAAGCAAATGGTATTCTATAATGACTGTCATAACTATGCAATTTGTATTTGTGCTAGAAACAAGAATTGTATCTGTGTTAGGACATGTTATACTTTCTTGGTTTGGGCCTGTAAAGGATCTGTGGAATGTATATAATGTTTTTCATTATATTATACTCTGGTGAAGCCATGATACTTTAGGGCTTTAAATGCATGAAAATTATTTTACCATAATGAAATGAGACTGCAGTGTAGTTGGTGGAACTGAGCTGGTTTAATCCCAAAATAACGTTCTTTCATACTGTTCATTCTGTTTGGAGACTAGCAAAAACTGTTAAATTAATATTTTAACACAGTTTTTAAAGCTCCTCGATTAAAGACAATAGTTTGAATATTACAATAAAATATAATTTATTTATATTCCATAGAGCTTTCATAGGCCCAAGCCAATGATGGAGAACATGTCATAGCACAAATACAATACTTGTTTCTAATACAGATTTTAATTACAGTTATGACAGTAATTTACAGACACTTGCTCTCATTATCATAATTTTTAGTGGACAACATAGAAAAATTTCAAACAAACTCAGATATCTACAATATAAATACAAGATACTGATACAACCTTCATATGTCAGACACTGAACTCAGAAAATATAAAAATGGAATTTACTATACAGGAATTAGGCTATTCAATAATTCCCCTGCCCCCACTATAAAAAGTCTGAATCATGATAAGAATTACCCCCCAAATTATTCCATGCTTCATTATAAAGTGAGAGTAGGCAAAGTAAAGTGATTTGAAAGTGCCAGTGTTGCTGACATGAGACACATGCTTCACTTAGGTGTCACTTTATCAACATGACTTTAAACTTAATAGGACCTACTTAGTTTAGACCAGTAGTTCTCAACCCTCTTGCAACATGCAGCTCATCAGTGTCTTGTGTGTCCCTCTGTATAGAGAAAAATTGTTCCCTTATATCTTGTTTAAGAGCCCTTCATCCCAGAACCAAGCCTTAATGAAGCTGAAATTGCCATTGTGAAATTAAAATGTTATAAATCTTCAGGCATCTACTCAATTCCAGTGGTAGGACACTACACTCGGAGATACATAAGCGTATGGTATTGATTTGGAACTAGGAAGTACTACCACAACAGTGGAAAGAATCAGTTGTCCCTGTCTATAAAATGGGACAAAACTAAGTTCAGTAACTTCTGAGGTATCTCTTTTGTCAGCGTCATACAAAATTTTATCCAAAATTCTTCTGGCATGGTCAACCCCATTTAGGGATGAAACTATTGGAAATGATAAATATGGATTCTGCCGTAACAGGACAACTGTTAATCAGATCTTTTGCATTCAACAAATCTAGAACAAGTTGGAGTATAATGTTGTGGTCTTCAGAAGGCGTACAACTCGGTTAGAAGAGAGTATGGTATTTTGAGTTTGGAATACCAAAAAAATTTGTTTGCTTAATTATGGTTGGGGTAGCTAGTAGAGTTCATATAGGTAACCTTCTGTCAGATCCCTTCCCATTATCCAATGCTTTTCAATTTTGCTGTAGGACATGTCATCAGGAAGGTCAGAGGGAATCAGGAAGGGCTCAAATTAAATGGTCTGCACCAGCTACTTGCCTGTGCTGATGTAAATCTTCTGGGGGAGGGTGTGGGTACCATAACCAAGAATGCAGAAACTCTCATACAGGCTAGCAAAGAAATAGGCCTAGAAGTAAATGTGGACAAAACTAAATACATGGGCGTAATACGGGATCAACATCAGTAACAATGGCAGAACATAATATAAGTAACACATCATTTGATAATGTTTAAAAATTTAAATATTGGGAACAACAATAACAAATAGAAATGAGGTGCGTGATGAAATTAAAAGTAGCATACATTCCGGAAAAGCTTGTTTTTATTCAATTCAAAAACTGTTATCATCTCGTTTACTATCCAAAACACTGAAGATCCAGATATGTAAAACAATAATTTTGCCGGTTGTCTTGTATGGTTGTGAAGCATGGTCTCTTACTTGAAGGAAGAATATGAATTACAAGTGTTTGAAAGGAAGGTGTTCAGGAAGATATCTGGACCTACAAAGGATGAAATAAATGTGGAATTTAGAATATTGCATAATGAGGAGATGTGTGAATTGTACAGGTCACCTAGCATAGTGAGGAAAGCAAAATCTAGGAGACTTCGATGGGCTGGACATGTAGCACGTATGGAGGGGGGAGGCAAGGGGTGCATACAGAATTTTGGTATGATTCCTTCTGGAAAATGACCACTGGGCAGACCAGGAATGAGCTGGCAGGATAACATCAAGGTGAATCTTAGGAAGGTGAGCTATGAGGATGGTAAATGGATGGCATTGGCTCAGGATCATGGCCTGTGGCAGGCTTTGGTTTTATCAATATTTAACTTCGGGTTCTGCTACCAGGGAGTTACATCTTGCTTATTCCTTCCTTCCATCAGTTGTGGTTACTTCTTTTGTTTGGTGGGTCTAGTATGGAGACTAAGGTTTCTCACCCAAAGAAATGCTGAGTTAGTCCTGTAAAATAAGCCTTTTCTCATATCCTTCTCATTTAATCATTTATTAGCACTCAGCCATGAAATAGTATTTTATTATTACTGAACCAGAATAGCTCAGTGCAGTGGTGGGCTATGGTTGGATGTGGTTAAATTCTCAGTAAGTAGATGGATTTTTCTCGTTGTTACCACTGTCCTGTTCAGCGGGTAAAGTATTAGAGTTCAAGGTTAAGAATACATGTAGCTTTCCCTCCACTCTCCCCATACTTACAATGTAGTTGTTAGCTTTATGGACATCTTTTCTTCTCTTCTGTGTGTAGATAACCCTATTATAATGCACACTTTCTTCCTTCAGATGCCTCACAAAAAATTAAATCTATTATTTTTGTTAGGTATTTCACTTAAAACATGCATGAATGTAATATAGTGTTTTTTTATATTGGTAGGTATTGCTCAGGGCTGTATTTGTTAATGCATGGCAGGTTATTGGAAAATGGTTTCCACAACTGTAATGGAGAATGGAATTAAGGTTGGAGAGGTGTCTGGCTTGCCAGCTGGTGAATATAGCCTGGTTGGATGGGATTTGGACACCACTGGACGCCGACTGATTGATGAAATCTGCCACATTGCAGCATATTCTCCAGCAGACACATTCTCCCAGTATGTGATGCCATTTTGTGATTTAAATATTAGGGCTCAACGCAGACACAACATAAGAGTCATAACTGTAGGTCGCTATCGCATGCTCAAGGATTGCAAGACTGGAAAGGTTAGTTGTACAGATCATATTTTTGCACCAACAAGTGACAGTTTTGTATTTGAGTCCTATGTCTTACTTGCCACAGAATGTGAACATTTAAAATGTAAAAGTAAAATCTGAGAAGTATATTCATACCTATTTTGAAAATGTAGAGTATACATTAGTAGTTCTCTTTATAAAAATATATCCCAGTTCTGTGTTAAACTTCAATAAATAAAGAATATGGAAATTAAGAACTTCCCAGTTTTAATAATTTATGTAGTTTTATTAGAGGCCATGTGTGATGGGAATTAGGCAGGTTAATTTGTAACTAGGCCATCAACTGTCTCTGAACATTGGTTGGTTACAGGTGCTAAAAACCAAAAGTGAGATATATGGATTATCAGACTTTATTCATTGGCTAGAAATTGTAAAAGGAAATGCTGTAGATGGTGTAATTCTTGTGAGCCATGAGCCCCGCATGGTGGCAGCACCGCTACTTTTGGAGGCATTGCAAAAGTACAACCTGCTTGAGAGATTCTCTGCTGTAGTGAAGGGATTTGCCAATGGATATAGAGTAGCAGAAGTAAAATGTGCCAAAACAGTACGCTCATTTTCACTGCGCACTTTGTCCCGTGTGTTACTGAATAATGAAGAGGACCTAGACAGTGCTGCAGACAGAGCACGTCTTGCCTTCCAGGTAAGGGAAATAGAGGTTGTCATCAATGTGAATTAGGTTGTTTATATCATCAGTTTAAAGTACCACTTCAAACTGCTATTCTTTGAGTTGATATTTATAGATAATGTTCTTTTATGCTTCTTTGGGACTTTTAAGTCATGGAATCCCCAGTGCACATGACTTCTCACCAAGTCAGGATGGTATAGAATTTTGAAGCACTGTGATCTTTTCCAACCATATCTGCTTCAATCACCGGGAATTATGTGAGAAGTAAGGTTTGAAACGATGATTGTAGTTCTTTTGATGCATATGAATGTTTTCAAAATTTGTTAAATATACTGTAGTTGAGTCACCCTTATGTCGGCTTTAAACAAAGTATGTAATGTTATGAAAATTTCTGACATCAAAGCTGCATGTAACTACAGCTCCAACTGATAAAGAAAATACCTCCACCCATTGATTGAATTCTGTGAATTGTAACATTTAAATTTTAACATAATAAGGAATTTTTTTTTTGTTCTTACAAAATTCAGATAATTATTTATCTTCTTTGCTTCTCTGCTCATTTTATCATCAATGTTCTGCTCATTAATATTGATTTCCCCACATATTTTATAAAGAAATTTAGTTTGAGCATTATGACATCCTCTGCCCTCACTTGACTGTTTTATGATGCTACTTTAATTAAAACAATAGTGGTAAATTTTGTCTGTCAATGTTCCAAGAGGATAAAAACAAAAATAATTTACTGGCATGTTCCCAGAGTGTTTCATCCACTGACAGCCATGCCACTTGGAGCCAGAAGGATTGAAAAGCATTCTAAAGTATGTTGAAAAAATAACTGCTGAGGAATTTGTATTACCAGTGATAAGTGACTTAAAGAATTTGGTATTTGGACCATCTTTAGGTAACACAACATGACAAATTTTCACATGGCAGTATAACCATTACATGATGTGTGCAGGAAACACTTTACTTAACAGTATATCCAGAGGATGAAAGATGGCAGCTGTCCTGTCACTGGATGGTAACCTGTCCAGGGGAGGAACAACACAAGAATTTCAAGAAATGCATATGGATAGGTTCAGTTATCTGTAAAATATTTACCTACACAGTTTCTCAAACTACAGTACATTATACATAGCTTTAAGTCTGTGTTTACAGATAGTACAACACCTGTGTGCTGGGGAAGATCGCCCAGAAAGTAACCAAGGCAGTGGGGATGGACAGGCTGATAATCATGGACTTGCAGAAGCGATACGTCAGTTCACAAATACTGTAGCCAAAGAGGAGATGGAACTTGTCGGACTGAAGACAGTGTTGAAACGTCAGGCCTCTATGCGTCCTGTATTTGGTCCATTGCTTTCTGTAAACAGACGTGAGAGGCAGCGTGCTAGCAATTTGCGCAGAATTCTTGCTGAAGCAGAGATCGACTATCCACTGCTCACTGCTACATACTCAAAAGATGGAAAGGAAAGCATTACCCAGTTGCTAGCTTCTAAATTAACACAAGTTAAGCCAAAAGAGAGGGATGAATTACATGAGCTATTAATGGGCCACTTTGACCCAGAGTCAAAACCAAAAAGTGAGAAGACTCAAGTGAACAAAGAGAGTAAATATGGTGTTGGGGATGTAAGTGGATCCAGCACACCAGACACTACGACTAGTTCTATGAAAACTCCCGTCTCATCAGATGATAATACCAACACCAACTGTACCATCTCTCCTCAGACCAGTACCACATCTCCACAAAAACATTCCACATTTTTTGGCCCGGTGGTTACCAGCTCACCCGAGTCAACAGTATCTTAAATTTCAACACACTAATTGTGCTTGACCATTCTGTAGAGGATGTGTGAGTGCCTTACTGAGGACATGTTTATGTTTGATGCCAGTGATGCCTTTGTTCAATGAATTTCTTACATTGAATGTTCATATGGTATGAATGATTAAAAAAAGAAAACTTTTTTTGTTTTAATTTGCTGTGACCTAAGAGTATGTTGTTTTGTTTTATTAACTGTTTTGTTTGTGATATAAGGAATAAATACATTTTCTTGTTTTGTTTGTAAATTTTGTTCATTGTAAGTTCAACTGAGGAAACGTTTGTTCCACAGGAAGTTTCTGGAACATTCCTCAAGAGCAATCAGAAAATTTGATTCTCCATGTATGCTGTAATTCAAAACAAATGTCCAGATCTCATTGTAAAAATTCTAAATAAAGAATGATTTGTGTATTAAGATTTGTTTCTTAAATTAGTGCACTTTTAAAGGGTTCAACAAGGATGTCTTTCAATTTCTTAAATTTCAGGCTGCTCTAATTTCACTGCCTTTATTACCCTACTTGAAGTCAAATATGAGTCTGCCAGCCAGACATACTGTGATATGTTTCATTTGAGGTTCTTCTGGGTTGTAATGCCATGTAGTCTGGTATAAGTTTGAGTTACATGCTGTCTCTATCAGGGGACTTGACTCTTAAACAGTTGTAAACTTCTGCCAGACTATACATTGTTATAACCCAGAAGCCAGCCATCTTCATACTGTGATATGTTCTTGCCAATAAAGAGGTATCACTTGACTGCAGTTTGGTCAGTTTTGTTTAATTTGATGTCCAAATGATGATGAATGTGTTTGCCAGAGAAACTGAAATACTGCTTTTCTAAAGCAGATTAAATTGACATCATTTTACAGCATGTGATTTCTTGGATAAGCTTCGGGGTGAGCTGCAAAATCAGTTTTAGATGTGGTGAAAAGAAAAGTCTGGCAGAAATTCAACCCCATCATCCACCTCACAGTCATTTGACTGAATCTTATAGAAAAAATTAAATATACTTTCTGTTCACAATTCTCATTTACTGCCTAACTAACTAGATGGCTTACCAAACCCGAAGGTTCATCACCGAATTAACCAAAGCCCTCCACCAGACCCTGTCCTAGGCCAACAAAATCCAGTCTCCTTCAACTCCTATCTCCCATAGATCCCGCCTGATATCCTCCCATCTACGTCTAGGTCTCCCCAGCGGTCTCTTCCCCTCAGGCCCGTTTCACACATATACGGCAACCGTCCAAACGGCTCCGTTTACACGGTTAAAGGTCGAAGATTATACGAGAGCTTTCACATGCACCGGTTCAGTCTATACGGTAACCGTCCACCGTGTCTTCCCACTACAAAACCCGGCGCCGTGACCATCCTACGGCGCACCACTTGGTAGTGGAGTGAACAGTTTAATGGCTTCCTTCACACGTGCCGTGTGTGATGCCCGGTTCCGTAACTTATCTACCAACATTGTGCATTAATATTCAGTGAAAATGAATTTATATCACCCAATATGACAAATGTACATGTTGACATTGATTATCTAATTTCTTTAATCACCCTGACAATACTGGGGGAGGAGTACAGATTTTTAAGTTCGACATTATGTAGTTTTCTCCATGTCCCATCATCTTCTCTCCTAGACCCAAATATCCTCAACACCCTATTCTCAAACACCTGCAATCTATGTTCCTCCCTCTGAGTGAGAGACCATGTTTCGCACCCATACAAAACAACGGGCAAGATTATTGTTTTGTATACTTTAATTTTCGCGTTCTTAGAAATCAGGGGTCAGAGGCGAACCCACATCATCGGTCTCGGACTTATTCGAATTATATGAAATCGTTTTCATAAGGAGGAAGTAATTTTGTCCGAGGCCTTGTATTGAAAATTCTTAAGTTTAAGTGTATGTATATGCGAAATAAAGTCTGTACTTGTATGATGACATGTTCTGCATCCTTTTGTTTAGCCAAAAGAAGGATCTAAGGAATGTAAATAAACGTTAACTCTAACGCCTAATGCTTGCATTCAGGTAATCAATGTCACATCAGATCCATGAAATAGTCAAACGCAGAATATAGTTACTAGTATTTGTCAATGATTGTAAGTTTTAGCTCCTTTGACAAGCGGAAGTGATGTGCACGTTGTAGTCTTTGCTATTTGGTGGCCTCTATCTATTTCCGTTCTTTCTCGAGAAGTTGTGTACTAGGGTGAGCGCATTTTTGTTGATTATTTTCTGAATAACCTAATTAATACCTTCTGTCCTCTATCATTTATGTATATAATATCATTTATGTTAATAAGATCGTATTGTATAAGATGTTTATATTTCTTTATAATTACTTTTAAATACACCTAGTAATGATCAGCACGTGCGTTAGTCTTCGTCGTGAGTTTGCCAAATGATGTTGAAATATTTCTGAACGAAACCTTGCAGACGCTTGATTTCATCACCACCCACATCTGATGGCACTATATACCCGGGGCATTGAAGATTTTTTTATGGCAACGCCTTGAAATTATATGCTCATAAAAATTGTCAGGTTTTACTGGATTAACATCTGTTTCTCCATAGGAAGTGTTCATTATGTCGGCCCACCTGATGTGGATGATCATCCGGAACAACAATGCATATCTTTTGAAGAAGAGCAATATTAAGAAACCTTTTAGTACAGAATCAAATAATCTTAACAACCTCAGCTCTTTCCGATACAGTGGACTGATCCACAAGAAGAGCGTTGGTATAGTGGCTGCACCAGATAACAAGGGATTCAGTGTAGTATACAAGAAAAGCAGGGCCTTGGTAAGTTTGTGTGGGTGTCCATGTTTAAAGTATAAATATTGCTGGAATTCAAGTGATGCTTTTAAGTTGGCTGAGTTTTTGATGACCATTTTTCACCACCCACTTCTGATGTTTTTATGTAGCCTATTTCTGATAGAACATTTGGTTATATTTTAAGTACAGATAAATGTCAGATTTTAATTTCAGCATAAACCTGCAAAGTCTGTGGTGAGAAGAACAATGAAAGCTGGTCCTCGGCGTTCTTTGTATAAGCTGAAGAGGTTGCTGAAAGCTAATAAATATAGAACAGACCTGACCAAGGTATGTTATATGCAGTGGTGGCAAAGTGAGTGATAGCCAAGGGCCTTGCATGCCTCACATCTGTATTTGTATTTATTGGAATTGCCTTTTGTCTGATTGCTGTTGCCATAGTTTGCTTTATACATATTCAGTTACTTGATGCTGACAACAGTGATGGAAGAATTAAAAAGTTTCTGATCAAAGCCTGAGGAATGTTCATAACAACCTGTATTGACAATAAACCATCAAAATCATAGCAGATTTCTTCACCACTGTAAAAATCTAACATCTTAAGATATATAACTATGGTGGCAGTGCCAATCACAAGACCCAAGGCTAGATTGAGTAGAGGCATCCAAAGAAAAATATATGTATGTCATTTTATGTGATTTCAGTTATAATTTTAATGGTTTGAAAACTTTCTCTCTAGAACTGATTCACTCAATACATGCAAGTCTTCCACCGCCTGTTCATATTCATTTTCACCTAAATCTGTTACTTACACTTGGATTATTATAAAAAAAATTACACGTGACCTACACTCACATTTTTTTTCCTTAAGACACACCTGATCCAAAGTTTCTTCCTAAATCACAATCCTGTTTTAACACCCAACATAACAATAAACAAAACACACCACTGTTCACAAAACAGTATTGTTGCTTTCACAACTCATAAGCAACTGACTTACTTTCCCTGCAAATTTCTTGACTGCACAGTATTTATAAAATATTTAAATTGAAAGTGACAATCATTTAGAGAAAAATAAATCAAATATGCATAATATAAACATACAAACCCCAAACAACACACATTTGTTAAACACAATAGTACATCAATGTTGTTGAAGACTCATACAGGTGACAAACAGTTGTCAGTTATTCAGAAACATTTAGATGAAACAGCACATAACTAATCTACTATCAACAATAGCATTTATGGAAAGTATTTAAAAAATTGTCTACTCTCCTGAAATGTTTTGTCCATGTACAAGGCCATATGGATTTCTTGTCTAGGCAAACGCTGTAGGAGTTTCTTTAAATATGGTATTATTGCCTTGCAAATCCTAATGATTTCAGTATCCATCATCTTCCCATCCATTTTCATGAGCATAACCTCTGCAGTTGATATTGTGCTACAAAAAGATGTTCTAGTGGGTATTAGTTGATTGTCTTGTACTTTTGTGTTGCAGGCAGCGCTACGCAGAGCCAGTGCAGTTTTGAAGTCGCAGAAGCCACTAGCAGTTAAGAAAGCACATGCAAAGAAATCTGATTAAGACTTGTATTCTGGTATGGCATAATAAAGGCTCTTTACTTGCATGATTCATGCAGTTGTCAGTCCTTGAAAACCAACATTCTGAGTGCCGTACTTTCAGGCCATGAGTTTCTAAGAGACCTGATTGTGTTATGGAATCCAGACAGAATTCTGTTGTTTGTACCACTCAGCCTCTTATGAGAGCAGATTTTTGGATGTTCATTTCTTGAATGGTAAAAAAAATGTTCAGAGCCAATTAAAATTAAGTACACATTCTCATTGCAATAAA